GGAGCAGGCCCCGCCAGCGGCGCGGCCCGGCACGGTGAGTCCGCGAACGCGGCCCTTCGCTCCCCCCGGCTCCCCAACAGCTGCCGGTTATGCAGAGAAGCGGCCTCTTTATTGTCTACCTGGAGGATAATTCCCTGCTTAAAATATCCGGTGGGATTAATGAGCTAATGACCGTGGCTTTGCTCAATTTATTCAGAGTCATAAACTCGCTTTATTCAGAGTCATAAGCACTCGCTGACTGAAGTTTCTTGCTGTTGGGATGACCCCGAGCGTCCCTTTTTCCTAGCCCAATGGTCTGAGAAAGAGTAGGAATTCTCCAGCTCTGGTTCACAAGGTTGTTTATTGTCTTTTAGCTAAAATATTTTTTCTCAGACCAGCAGAGTTCTGTCTAGTAGGTCTGTCCAAGGCACAGTGCCCGCCCCTGGGCTGGTGTCTACATTTTATACTACATGTTACGTGTAGTTTATTTATCATTATTTTCCAATTGCCTATGTTAGACAGTTTGCCTCTACTCTAGACCAATCTAAATGTGCCACCATCACCAAGAAGATGGAGGTTAGGAAGAAGAAGGAAGAAGAATAGGACAACACTCAGGTCCCTCCATCTTGCCTCCTAGACCCCCTATAATAAAATCCCCAAAACTCCATTTTTCACTTGGTGATTCATTCATTATTACTCTACTTAAACTTTTGTCACTTGTGATTCTTCATACCAGGTTGGTAATTTGCTCCATGGGTTAAGACCAAAATCCCAAGTGTCTTTGGCTTCCTGCCAGGACTCCCCAGCCCCCTGCCAGGTTCTTCAAGCCCCTGCCAGGGCTCGAGCCATCCAGGGCACCCAGAGGGGTTCCTGGGTTCCAACACCTGGCAATATTTTAGAGATGACAAATTGTAAATTACTGTGTTTGCCTGAGTCATCCTATTATATAAGATCCCTGTTCAGTTGCTTAGAATCAGCTAGAATATAATCATCAGGGATGGATTTTCAGATTCTGGATGTCAGCCACAGACCTGATTTTTTGGCAACCAAAGCTTGTTCAGCATATTTGTGAGAAACCATGAAGGAAAAATAGAGCTTGCCAATACAAAACCAAGGAGATGAGTAAACATAAACAGAGCGGCCATTCAGCTCCTCCAACACTGGTGTGTTATGTTTGGAAAACTGAAGCTGGAGCAGGGCTGTGCAGTTTCACATGGGATGGCCTTTTAATCAAAAACACATCTTTTGCTCTCCTTTGAAAAATCACCCAGATGCAGTCAGGTAGTATTTCTTTAAAGAAATCCCACATGGCATGTTTTTCCAAGATAAATTGGACATTTGGATGTTAAAAGATGCTAAATCTCTAAAGCAGGTCCACGAAGGTGCATGTTCCTCACATCATTGGTCTGCAACCACACTGCACATATGCCATCCCATTAAGAAACCAGCCAGACAAGAGTGGGGCCTGGGAAACTGGAAAGGAAGAAACTGAGCCCCTGGGACCATAGGAAAAGATCTCAAAAAGATCTCAGGACCAGAGCCAAGATGTGGCTGAAAAAAGAACAGGAGCTTCAGGACTGGAGCAGGGACAGGAGAAGGAGTGGCTGGGACTGGCTGCAGGGTAAAGGATGGCAGAGAGGCAGAAAGGAGGGACTGCTGGTCTCTGCTCTTCGGGGACATGAGAGGTAAAGGATGACAAATAGGTGCAAACAAGAGAAAAGCTGTAGGAATCTAAAATGAGAGCAGAAAAGGGGGAAACAGGTCCCATAGAGGGAGAAAGGGAAATGAGTTGGCAGAACTTAGAAAGTAAGCTTAAATTAGAACCAAAAACAGACAAACAAACAGAAGAACACAGATGAGGCCATTAGCATGTGTTATTGCTACCATCAGAAATCCTGCACAAACAGCAAAGGAGAAGGACAGTCCATTCCAGCATTCTGGAAGTGGAATTCACACTGCATCCAGCCATCACTGTCCTGAGGGGAGCAACTACAAACCTTGAAGCCATGAGGACTTTCTTTTGCTTAGATGTTTTGCTAAAAGTTTGCAAGAACATTTTCTGTAGCTAATAAGAGGGACAGGCTGAAGGGAAGAATCAGACAAAGTAAGAAAAGCAAAACCAAACAAAAAGAAAAAATCTGGGCATCAGCTGAAGCACTGATGATCCACTTGCTGAGTACTGTTAGTACCTAATATGCGCGATGAGAGGAGCTAATTGCATTAGCTTTGACGTGAGGGATACAGTAAGGTACCTAATGGAATTACTGCAGGGGGGTGGAGCAGGAAGAAGGAAGCTGGTTAGGATATTTATCACAGGCAAATATTGCCCCCAGAAGGAGGAGACAGTTCCAGTTGCTAAGTCATGCTGGAGACAGCACTAGAAGCAGCACCCTGGCTATTTCCAAATTTGCTGTCGTTATTTATATTCCATTGGTCAAAGCAGTAGAGAGGTCCACATTCCCACTGCCAAATAGGAGGATTTGGCCTCATAAAAAAATCTGGCATCCCTCACTCATATATTTCCTTGGCACAGTGGGCAGGCATGTCAGTGAACATTTATCTATGGATAAGGTATTGGATGAGCAATTACTTGAAACTGAAGGGTAACCTTCAGAGCTGAGGACAGCAGAGAGAGATGTCACTCAGCCACAGGCAGAAAGGTGGAAATCCCTCCTTGTGATGGGGTAGACATAGCACACATCTCTGCCCAGGTTAAAATAACTCCTCAGAGCAATACAGAAAGGAGAGAATGATTTCCAAGGCAGGACAAACCTGCAGCGGGGGCTGAGGAGCAGCATTTGGGCTCTTTGCTTGTAGAGATACACGAGTGCTTACAGAGGGGGAAAGGGCTCCCACTTAGCTTGGTCTGCTAAGGCCAGCTTGTCATCTCATTTGAAAAGTCCAGGAGCAAGATCAGAGGCTTTCCAGAATGACTTAAGCAGCTCCACAATCACTTATTTTGACACCACAGTAGATGCTCACTCTGCTGTTTCGGCTATAATCAAATCTGGTGGGACTGTAACCTGTATCTGGGCTCTGTCCATATCTGGGTTTTACTGCATGGAAGGAGGTTTTTTATACAAGCTGTGCCAATGGGATAATTGCAGCTAATATCATGTTTCTTATGCTTTACAGTGGGAATTACTGAACAGGAGTCATCCAAGTCCTACAATCACCTGTTGGATGGAAAATCTTTGGTAAGCAAATAGAGCAAGACCAGCTACCAATGCATCTTAAAACCTGTATCCATCAGCGTGTCCCACAGTAACAGCACGTCAGCCTGTTGCAGCACCTGCAGATTTCACAGCCCTTGTTAAAGCTTGAAACATGATTTATGCCAGAGGATCCCTTAGCTGGGAGCAGAGACTGGCACAGGACAGAGAACTGCCGCTCAGGGACCGGGAAGAGTGGTGGGATGGAAACAAGCAGGCTCCTGCTCTGGATGCTCAGCCACCTGCAACAGCTGGCAGAAATTAACCTCTTGTCTCTCAGGGCCTTTCACAAATTGGGAAAAAATATTCTCAAGTGGAACAGGCATCAAATAATTTGTTTTCTCCAGAATGCCAAGCTGACACAATAATCTCCAAAGCCAGAAATATGAATAAAGAGTTGATGGGAAAATTATCATACAAACCCCCAAAATGTGTTCTCTAATAGACAGAAAAAATATTTTTGTTAAAAATTATTCACCTTTACTAAAATGTTCTGCCTCCCTTCTTTGTCTTACAGTGCCCCCCTAATTTTCATAGTCTCTACATTTAATAAAAACTGACTTTTTCAAAGAAAAAAATATTATTTTGAATAGTTTCTGGCCAACACCAGACCATGCTGTTGAAACTATGGTTTCAGAGGCCCTTTTGGATGGCTGAAGCATGCTTGCTAGCTGATATCTGGGCTACCCTTAAGAAAAATGACAGTACAATACTTAAGGATGGTTAAAACTAATGTTATTCAGTGTAATGAATTTAATTGTACCTACCAATAATTAACATAGTTACATTTCAAAGGATGTTTGCAAAAGTGATTTCAAACATCTCTAAGCCTTAGGATACGTGAAAGACACACCTAAATGTACCCAGTCTCAGATTAATCCTAGGAGAAATAGCCCTAGAAAGCTTAAGACCAGTTATGGTAGTGACAACAATATGAACATTTTTTTTCAGGATTGCCAGTAAAATCAATAAGCGTGCTTATTGCCTGAAATAATGAGATGACCTCACAATTTTTGACTTTTTTTTTCTATTTCTGAGCAACTCACGCTTAAACTTACCATCTTGGAGGATATGCTGTTCTCAGAGACCTGTTTATGGGAAAACGTGACTCAGTTCTGGTGGGCAATTTATGATCAAATAAGACAAGGAGGAAGTGGATGATTAGGCACTTGTGGGGCTGTGGCAGAACTGGAGCATACACACCACACCACAGAGCAGCACACAACAAAGCAGGGAAACATCTCTGAGTGCTGAAGGAGCTGTGATGGCTGAGACATCTGCTTCCCAGGCAGCTGTAGAGGTGGGAGCAGCAAGAGGCAGGCTGCTCACTCTGCACACAACCTCACTGCCTCAGGAAGATAAACACAAAAACTAGGGAATACAACGTTCTGCAAGTGTCCCTTCTTTGATGGGAGGTGTAAATCTGGCTCACTCAAGTCCTGTGCTGAGCTCAGTGAGAATATTCATGTGAGCAGCTGGTAACTGTGTGGGTGAGAGTTGGGCCGTCACATCCTTAACCTGCTTTCTCTTGTTAAGAGATTTACAGCATTTATTGGTTTTCTTAAAACAGCATCTTTCCTCAGATGACCCCGTGTCCCCACTCATCAGTGGCATTTCCTGATGATGTGCTTTATCCTCCCACAGATCCCTCCATCTCCAGTTGCCCACATCACGGTGAAAGCTGTGGCTGTCACGGGCTCGCCCACACGCGACCGCACTTCTATGGAAGAGTAAGTCCCTTCCCACCCTTCAGACATGCCTCTTGCTTCCCAAAGGCAGGGAGAGATTGCTAAAGGTTATACTGATTTTGTTATTAGCCCTGGCCCTTTATACAGCTATCGCTGTGCCCATTACAGCTCTACTTTATCACTAGAAAAAAAATCATTGCGATTCAAAATAAAAGTATTTTCCCCCTAAGAAGTCTGTAATATTTGCCCTAAAATGTGATTAGAAAATGTAATTAATTGAAGAAAAAAATTATGTCTTAAAGTGTAATTAAGGAACAGCTTGACCATAGTACAAATGCACTCATCACCAGGCAGTTAACCCAGACATGGGTCTGGGTGGGATGTGAGATGCCACCATTGTCACAGTGTCCTCGCACTCCATACACAGAGATGTAAGTTCCCCTCAGCCAGTGGAGCTCATCACTGCCATGTGGTCCCTTGGGGCTTTGGAGGAAGGGCCCAGCTCTCTCCTTGGGCAATCCCCCTGCTCCTTGTTGGGTGGCAACTGCTCGAGAGGATGCACTTAGAGCGGTCCCACTTGCAGCCCATCCCCTTGTGTCAGTGTCCCCTCTGACAGTGAGAGAACAAGGGCACCAAGCTGAGTGGTGGCAGCTGCAGCATCCCATCCCCCTGACCCACAGAGCCCCTGCTCATTCCAGACTTGCTGATCCCGGGGGTGGGCCAGGCGTGGGCACACGTTTCAGCCAAGCATAGGAACACCTTTTCAGCCAGGCAGCTCTTGGTTCTGAGTGGCTGGTTGCCATAAGCAGGGAAGAAGGGCCAGAGAGAAGCACTCTGCACACAGCTGGTGTTTTATTTGTCAGCCACAGGCAGCGCTGGAGGAAGACAACAGAGTATGACCTGGCCCTGCCACCAGGAGCAGAAGCTTCCCTACCACTGACAGGAGGCAACCTGTGTGGGACACCCAGCCTCCTGAGGAAGATGTGGATGAAGCACAAGAAGAAGTCAGAGTACCTGGGGGCAACAAACAGTGCCTTTGAGGCGGACTGATAAGGCTCAGCATCCCTTGGAAAGGCAGAGGGCCCTTTAGCAGGACAAGGTGCTTTAGGATCCATGAGGGAACGGACACAGCACAGCTCATCCAGAAAAATTATATCCTTTTTGTTACTTGATGCCATTGCCTCAGAACAGCGGGAGAAAGGCTAACAAAGGTAAAAATGGTGAATATGATGCAACTCAATGGCCTTTCCTTGTTGCATTACACTAAAATCCTGACTAACCCACTAGATTTACCTCTTGACTCAATGCTGAGACTACTGCTGACCCATTCAACATTTCCTATGTCCTGTCTGAATGAGCTTGGACTTGCAACAAGAGAAGCCTATGGAGAGTTTGTGTATTCCTGCAAGACAACAGACTGATTACAGAGTGCCATTAAATCCCAGGGATCTGCCTGTGCACCACTGCCTGTCATCTTTCCCCTCTCATATCATGAGATAAAAAACTCATCTTGCGATATGCTTGGCTGAACAACACATGCTAAAAAACATCTCTTTTCCTTCAGTTTTGATGTTTCAAGGCAGGAGTAAAAGATGCAAAAATTCTGAAACAATGGACCAGAACTGAGCAAGTTTGCAAACATATGTACCAAACTTTGCTATGTGACAAATGACTTGTGTTTTAAGTTGTCTTGCCAGATCAAACTGTGAGCAACAGGATACCCTCAAGGGATACTTTCTGCTGTAGAACCTGCTTATGAGTGAAATGGTAGTCAGCAATTTACCCTCTACCCATGTGGTAAAGGATATTACATTAAGTGCACAAAATACTAGGAGGAAGGAAAAAATGTAAATGGTGCAACTAGGTGACTAAGTATAAGATATTTGCATGTAAGAGACCCGTGCTTATGAATAGATGGATTTAATGGGATTTGCTTTAAAAAATTTTCTCTTCTTTTTTTTTTTTTTTTTTTTTTTTAATTTGGAAATTGCTGGTCAGGTCGTCTTCAGTTTTTTCTCTCAAAAAAGAACAAAAAATAGTTTTACAAAAAAGTTTTCACCTCTGTTATGGACAATATTACATTAGCCATGAGCAGTACTTGCCTTCTGTGAGTGCTCTCCTATTTATTATAAAAAACCACTGGTTTCCCTAAATACAGAACTTTATATTTAAAGTCAGAGGAGGCGTATCTCCTGTTGTTTGTAGTAATGATGACCTCTAATCTAACCGCCAATGCACCAAGGCGTAAAATAAAAATAAAGCTCTGACTCTGGGACAGCAGCAGAGGGAAGGAGCTCCCCTCTGCAGCTTGCTTGCCTGCAGCCCGTGCAGTGAAATCACTGAGGTGCCATCACACCCATGCCATGGTGGTGAGGGGCATGGGGTGAGGGATCCCTGCTCAGGGGTCACCCCTCAGGAGTACCAAGGGACCACCTGGATGGGAGGGAAAGACAGCCAGGACTTCTGGCTTTGGGTTGAGCAGCACACAGGAGAGGTTTGCAGCTTGACAGCCTGAGCAACCAAAGTTCATGGAATGGGAAAACAAATGGAACAGGCCAGTAGCTTTACAGAGCATACAGGTCCTGATGGCTGCAAGGAGGGCAACAGCAAAAACCTATTTGGGGCTGGACATGGTGGAAATGGTAGTAGGATGGGGATGAAAGTTCTTACTTAAAAAGGTACTGTGGCTTTTCTTACTGCTAGAGCCAAGTCAGTCCAGTGTGCCAAGGAGAGAGAGGCACGACACCTTCATCAAATACCTGTGCTAGCCCTCCTGTTCAGCTCTCCATCACTGCTCCAGTCACAGGCTCCTCTCTCAGAGGTGCTCTACTGGCCAGAGGAAAACTTTGCACCTGGAAACCACACAGACTCTCCCTCCTCATTACCAAGGGTGAAAGTCCTTCTCTGGCCCAGCAGCCCGAGACAGGGATGATCTGCTCTCCAGCTTTCTTTTCTTGCTCCTGGGAAAGCAGCAGAACACAGTTCCTTGTGAGCCCCGTGCTGGCAGTGGTGACCCAGTGTTGCCCATGTGTTCTCGGCATGAGAGAGCAATGCTGACACCCACTGAAGGCTGCTCACCTGAACAGTTCCCTGTGAGAGGTTTCTCACCTTCAAACTAGAGCGTGGCACACTGATCCTGTGCAATAGTCTGAGCACCCTGACCCTGCCAACATCAGGTCTTCTATGACTGAGCCAAGCTGGAGCCATGGTCAAGAGTTTCCTGAAACATTTTTTACAAACATCGCTAACCACACTTCAGCCCGCTCCTCAGCCCATAGAACTCTGCCAGAAACCCATATTGTATTTTTGCACATATAGGTAAACCTAGTAAATTCAGTGGGACTGCTCCCCTGCACAGCAGTACACACATTCAAAGAGCTGGGAGAAAACCAATCACTGCTTCCCCTTTTTGGTCTCATTTCCTAAGCAAAGGAAAAATAAGGATGGTGGACAGACCCTGGGAAAAGTTACTGAATTAGGTGTAATTAAGGGAGTGAACATTTGTGGTACCTGCTCTTGTAGTTAACATGGCCCAAAAAGTAATCGAACACAGTCCAGGGCAGCAATAGTTTTGCTTGTTGAGGAAATTGCATTGTAGAAAGAGTATTTAATTTATTAATTAATAGCTTTGAGCAGTGTGAGGATGGGGGTGGAGAATATTAATATTTCTTCTTAATAATTGCTGTATTTTGACATGTGTATTTATACTTTTCTTATTTATTTATTTAAAATTTGGATCTACAAGAGAAGGAGCTATTTTAAAGAAGCATATTTAATTTCTTTGTATTCCAGGAACTGCTGTGGAGACTTTTTGTATTGTAGTATTTATTTTATTGATTTAAAACTATGTTCTATACTTTAAAAAAACAAAACCAAACAACAAAATAAACAAGTAGCATGTGGTTACATATGGATCTCAGAGAATTAGGAGTTTTTGGGAAGCATTTAGTGGCAAGTAAAAGAGGTTGTATGATACTGAAAAAAGGTGAATCTCTGATAGCAAAGAACATGAACTTTATTTTCCAGAGCCTGAAAGTGTATTTGTGAGCAGCTTCAGTATTATCCAGGTGATAGAACCATTTTGTTATCAGATGTGCAGAGAAAAGCCCTGGCGCTGTCAGCAGCTAGAAATCAGACACACCTGTACACACCTGACCTCAAGCACCTCCCACACAAACAAACATTTGCTCACCTCCCTCTCACCAAATAAGAGTGCCAAGACAGAGACTCCTGAAAGGATTTAGGGCTCTGGTAGATAATAAAGCCAATGGAGTTGTCACCAAAGTCACTGAACTTACCTCATAGACAGCCCTGGCTTTGGAGAGCCCCTGCTGAACCACGGCCCAGCCTGAGGTGGATGGCACAGGACCACAGGAGCCCAGCCTAGGGAAGGTGACTCAGGACTGCAAGTGGAAAGAATTCAGGACACAAGGAAAGAAGCTTATGGTGTGGGCATGGTCTATCAACCCAGACTTCACAGCTCCCCATTAGAGGATGACTTATTCCCTGCCTGCCACGCTGCCCATAGTCACACAGCTCTGGTGAAAGGTTGCCACATTTCTGGCTCTTCCATTACAGACACCATCTACGTTTAATATGAGCAGCCAGGGAGTGTCCTCTTGGTGAGTGTCCACACCACAGGAGCTGCCACAGATTTTTTCCAGGACCTGGCCTCTGCTGGGAACTCATCTGGAAATACCTGATCTTTAGCTGTGCATTAAAAATACCAGCATGAGTATGGAAGAGGATGTGGATGTGCAACATATTTTCCAGATGAAGTTGTACAGAAAGCTGCATTAGGTTGACTCCAGCACGCTGCCAGAAAAATGTGAAATAGTGATTACAAAAATAAGTGAACTTTACCATTTTTCCACCAAAGACACAAGCTGTTAACTGTGCAGCCAAAAGCATTGCCTCTGGCACTACCAGACATAAGCCTGATGTAATAACGTATAACATCTGTGAGAAGATGCATTTTTCAGACATATTTCATGTCAATTTATAATTTGGTGTTCCCCAGAACTAGAGACTGACTAGGGCACTGATCTTACAGAAAGAGACTGCATGATGACAGTCCATCCTGCTTACAGCCATTTATAATTAATTTCCCCCCAAAAAAAGATTTCTAATTTCTCCCCACCATTTCAAAACCATCTTTGTGATAGAACTAATCACTAAAAGATGCATAATTGCTTTGCATACCACTTTATTTAAATAAACTGTAGTGAATTTAGGCTGGGCTAATATATAAAATAATTCCTACTGATGCATGAAAAAACCACCACAGATATGCCTTACTTGCCTTTCTTCCCCTTTTGCTCTCGCTTTACAGGTCCTGTAGCAAGCAGGTTTGCCACAAGAGTCAATCACAGACACGTCACTATTTGAGGGAATACCACATCCTTTATACAGAAAATATTTAAACCCAAACATTGACATCAGCAGAATAATTTTACTTCTGTAAGTTACCCAGTCAGAAAAGTTGCAATGTCAGGACTTGCACACACAAAAATTGAAACAAGTCAGATTTCTCAGATGAGACCCCTGTTAAGAATCTCTACAAACAATACAGATGTCAAATAGACACTATTATCTATGCAAAGTTTTTAGAATCTCAGCATTAACTCTAGAGATGATTCACCAGTGAGCAGCTAACTCTAAACCTTTGAGGTGGGTAATGATGTCATTCTGGGTAGTCCCAGTCTCCTACTTATGATTACCTCCTGTGAGTGTATCATCAATGTCCTGGCAAACTTTCACTCCCTCTTCCACCCGTATCTTTTCCAATTCTTTTGCCAGCACATGGTGAGTTAAGGTGGTTGAATGCCTGTAGCCCTGAGGAAGCCCTGTAAAGGTACATGGTTGCCCCCATACACAAAGGCAAACTGATGTTGATCCCCTTGCTGCAATGGCACCACACAAAACATGTCTTTAATATCAGCAGTGGCCATGACCCTGTGTGCCTGCTCCTGGATGCTGGCTGTGAGCTCAGTGCTGTTTGGTACAGCTGCTGGTAAGGGTCTGTGTCAGCACTGAGGTGGCAGTAGTCTACAGTTAATCTCCATTTACCATTTGGTTCTCACACTGGCCATACTGGGGAACTGGAAGCTGAGTGAATGGGGATAATTTCCCATTTTTTCACCTCCTCTAGGACTGGGGCAATTCCCTCCCAGACCCCCAAGAGCAGTCATGAGAGTTTGACATTTGTAAGTTTTGAAGGGGGAAGATGTGGGGCCATCAGCAAGTCTAACTTGGTGCTTGGTGGTTCCAGAGGACCACTGGCACCTCAGATTGTCAAACTCTCCCTTTCAAAACATCCAGTCCCAGTAAACTTAAAAGGAAGTCCCCTGTTGCCATGGTAACAGTTATGGTAGCTTCTTCTCCAGTAACATAAGAACAACTGCAGTGGTATGCAGTGGTTGTGACACCCCAACACATTCACTACAAGCAAGGGCCATTTGGGTGGGACAGCTCCTCAGGTGGTGGCATCTTGTTTAGTCAGGGCTGATATCTGACCCCCAGTGTCCACGAAAAATGTTAGCACTCTGCTTTTGGGTCTGGGAGCTATCATCAATAGATGTCTCCATTTCCATTACCTGTGAGGTGTCCAACATAAATCAACACAGCTGCTGCTCCCCTGCACACCTCACGGGAGCAGAGCTTTCAGGTTCCCTATTTTGTTTAGCACACTTTCTTCCCTGCCTGTGTCAATTAAAGGGGGCACGCTCAGGCTCATATAACATTTCTCTGCCCTTGGCTTCTGAGACATTTTGCCCAGCCATTGTAGTACCATCTCTTCTAACTTGTCCTGAGGAAACCATCCATTACATTTTAGAGATTCCCTTCTGCCAGCCTTGTGACCAAATTGCCTCTCGTGAGTGGGCATTCCC